GGACAGAAGCAGCCGAAAGAATTCTGAGGTATTCAGAGACAAACTGTGTGCTCAGATCAGCCAAATGCAGCCAAACTGATTGGTTGTCATTTCATATAGATGGACAATGACCCAAAACATAAAACCAAAGCAACCCAGGAGTTTATTAAAGCAAAGAAGTGGAATATTCTTGAAYGGCCAAGTCAGTCACCTGATCTCAGCCCAGTTAAGTTCAGACAGAAAGGCCCACAATCAAACRGCAAGTGAAAACCGCTGCAGTGAAGGCCTGGCAGAGCATTAYAAAGGAGGAAATGCAGCRTCTGGTGATGTTCATGAGTTCAAAACTTCAGGCAGTYGTTGCCAACAAAGAGTTTTTAACCAAGTATTATAAATTAGCATTGCATTTACAATTATTTAACTGGTCCATTTATTTTTCAGCCCCTGAAAATGAAGGACTTGTGTTAAAACATGCTTTTGTTCCTCATATTTCTATGCAATCATTTTGTTCAATCCACTGAATTAAAGCTGAAAGTCTGAACATCAGCTGCATCTGAAATGTTTTGTTCAAAATTTATTGTGGTCATGTCTAGAACCAAAATTAGGAAAATGTTGTCTCTGTCCAAATATATATGAACCTAACTGTACCAGGTACATGTTAGGTTAGTACCAGGACTGTTTTATGCATTGCTAATGTTATCCATTTTAATTTAGTTGGACTGATCATTAAACATAGAGGAATTTCTTAATTTTCAGCAGCTTTAATGAGCTGCTATTTAAAATTTGACAATCCATGAATACAAAAACATTTCTCTGGTATTAAAAACAATAAGACGCATGTTGAATAATCCATACACCAAACTGTCCTGAATGTGGATCTGAAGTTTYGAAAACAACAAACATGTCATCATGTTTAAAACTATAACTGAGGCTGTACCTACTCTTTTATTTTCTCAGCTGAGTCTCTCACTCCATCGTAGTCATAGTCAAATATCGGTCCAACAAGGACATTTAATCCATTTCTTTCCGTAGCAAATTTCTTCACCAAGGTTTTCTGAAAGTAACCCCATATTCCTGTAAGGGTTGACAGAGAGGCAGATGTAAGAAAAGTAATGATTAAAGACGACAAACAGAGCTAAAAGCATTGAAAAATGTCCGTCTCACATGTAAGAACTTACTCTTGAATGCAGGATACATGGGCACAGTGTTTGTGATGAGGACAGCTTCGTACTTTTTGTCCAAGTTTGACGACAGCTCTGTTAATGAATATAAACTTGATTAACACAGATTATATGATTCTTACATTTTTAATGTTAATTAATTTACACGAACCATTGGCATAAAGGCCAATAATTGTGGTCTTTAAGTATTTAGTTTAACATTTTTTCTACCAAGATGAAATGATTAAACACTACACAACTTAAATTTAAAATCAAAATTTGAGTGCACAAGTTATTTAGGATTTCCACTAATATTTATTTTCAAATATAAACAGACRCATAAAATTTTCCTTAGCAGGTTGCACCTCAACCCTAGGCTGTTTATTAAATTTATCAAMAAGTTTCTAGTTGTTACCGCTGGACCTAACGTGCATGATTTCTTACTGTGAGGCAACAACTAACCACGGCTCCTTTATTGCCATTAAARTTTRTTTGTTTGTTAATTAACYAAGCWAAGTTCCAGTTTGCAAAGTTTTTAATGTTTTTGTCTGGTTAGATTTAAAACATGGCAGCAACATAACAGACCTCTTATGGTGGTACACTTACGTGGAGGATACAAAAAGCCGTACGTAATGTGTCTCTCTGCTCTGTAGTTGGTACAAGACTGGCTAAAGGCCGGAGGAGCTCTGGCATCTGGTCTCAGACAGGTGGACAGAACGTCAGGCAGAGAAGACACCTCTACCTGGAAGAACACACAGAGGACACAGGTCTGATGACACTCTTAACTACAGTACTGTTGTATTAAGACAAAGAGCAGAACCCATTTGACCAGCAGAGGGGGTGAAAGCAAAGAAAAATGTTCAGTCAGTAACAAATCTGGGATCAGCCATACAAAAACAGAAACAGCTAAAAATGACAAATGACACAAATTAAGTTGCACTGAGCTGCTTTGTCTTCAACATAGACTTATCTCATCAAACAAGAGTCAATTTTTCCTCATTTGTCTCATCACTGAAGGTCCATGAAATCCATCCATGAAGTGCAGTTTCAAAACGTAAGTCAGATTATAGAACACCCACTATAAGGAGTTATTTTTATTTTCATTTAAATTTTTACAAAGCACATCACATCTGTGTGTAACRCAAAGACAAAGAGCAGAGAGATCAGCACCTGTCTGCTGACAGTGTAGGACGTCCAGAGGGGCATGGACAGAGTTTCACTGTAGCCACTGATGAAGTCACTGTGGTGGAGGATGGTGTATTTAGTGTGAAAAAGGACAGCAGGTCGACCAAACGGCAGGTTCCTGCTGTCTGAGAGACAAAGACACAGAGACACAGCACAGAGAGGCAGCAATGAACCATTTAAATTCAGTTTAAATTGAATAAAGTTAGWCTGTAAGAGTGGAAATCACAGAGACAGCGCTTTGACTGAAGCAGATAACAGGAACTATGTGTTTTACCTCCAGATAAAGTATTATTTTACTTAGAGTACAAAAATAGTGCTGTATGTTTTAATATATACAGGTATATGAATCTATTCAGCATCTATCCTCATTAATATTTCATTAACATCGTATCAAACTGACCATCGTTTGCTTGCCTCAATCGCTGGTTTAGCTCCTCCACTTTGTTCTGTAAGAGACAGAGCCAGAGTGACTCCAGGTTATAGCCTCGTACAAGGGCCACTTTCAAGCCTCTCTGGCCTCTATTTTTTACACGCAACTGCAAAAAGATTGGAGATTGAAACAAACTCATGCCAGAGATCTACATGGGAATCACAAACACAGTAGATGAAATAAAACACTGGCTCTACACACATCAATTCTGAACAKAAAAGGCTGAAAACATTAGAAAAGAGACTACAGAACACAGTAGATGTCTACATACATTGAAATAAAGACAAATATTTGTTTCTCTCTGAGATTAAATCAGMCCAAACTTGGATGGATGACAAAAAGTTGAGAATGTCAACAATTCTCTTCCTGACATCTTGACTGATTTGTAATTTTTCTGTGATGTCACACAAAGAAGCAGCGTATTTGAAGTGCAACTTGACATACATTCATGTTGTGCAATAAACTCAAATGTTTTTARCTAAACACTTAGCTTTTGCTTATAATAACTTTATAAAGTCTATTTTTAGTTTGTTCAAGCACCTTGTGAACTAACAGATCTTAAAATATCTCAGAGTATTTCATGAGATTGTGCAGAACCTCATACTACAAACAACTGTTTCACCCTGCAGCAGCAATTAAATCTGATGTTTTTTTTTCCAAATGTGACTCAGATTGGATTTTTTATGACATGTAACATCACAATTCATGTGTAACTTTGGTACAACCCTGGTATAACTTACGTACAACTCTGGTACAAGTCTGGTATAACTCTGGAACAACTCTGGTATAACTCTGGTACAACTCRGGTACAACTCTGGTACAATTCTGGCATAACTCTAGTAAAACTCTGGTATAACTCAKGTATACAGTATCTCTGGTACAACTCTGGTATATCTCTGGCACAACTCAGGTACATCTCTGGTATATCTCTGGTATATCTGGTACAACTCAGGTTCATCTCYGGTACAACCCTGGTACAACTCTGGTWCAACCCTGGTACAACTCTGGTWCAASYCTGGTAYAACTCTGGTAYAAGTCTGGTATAACTCTGGTACAACACAGATTTAACTCTGGCACAACTCTTGTACAACTCAGGTATAACTCAGGTACAACTCTGGTATAACTCTGGTATATCCCATGTACATCTCTGGTACATCTCTAGCACAACTCTGGTACAACTGTAGTACAACTCTGGTATATCTCTGGTACATCTCTGGTATAACTCTGGTATATCTCTGGTACAACTGTGGTATATCTCTGGTACAACTCTGGTACATCTCTGGTATAACTCTAGTATAACTCAGGTACAACTCTGGTACAACTCTGGTATATCCCATGTATTTCTCTGGTACATCTCTAGTACAACTCTGGTACAACTGTAGTACAACTCTGGTATAACTCTAGCAAAAATCTGGCACACCTCTAGTACAACTCTGGTATATCTCTGGTACAACTCTGGTATAACTCTGGTATATCTCTGGTACAACTCTGGTATATCTCTGGTACAACTCTGGTATATCTCTGGTACAACTCAGGTACATCTCTGGTATAACCCTGGTACAACTCTGGTACAACACTGGTATATCTCTGGTATATATCTGGTATAACTTAGGTACAAGTACAACTCTGGTACAACTCAGGTATAACTCAGGTATAACTCAGGTATAACTTTGGTACAACTTTGGTATAACTCAGGTACAACTCTGAAACAACTGTAGTACAACTCTGGTATACCTCTGGTACAACTCTGGTATATCTCTGTTATATCTCAGGTACATCTCTGGTACATCTCTAGTACAACTCTGGTACAARTCTGGTACAACTCTGGTAAATCTCTGGTACATCTCTGGTATAACTCTGGTATAACTCTGGTATATATCTGGTACAACCCAGGTGCATCTCTGGTATATCTCTGGTATAACTCAGGTTCATTTCTGGTACAACCCTGGTACAACTCTGGTACAACGCTAGTACAACTCTGGTATATCCCAGGTACAATTCTGGTACAAGTGTGTTATAACTCAATTATAATTCAGGTAAACTCAGGTACAACTGAGGTATAACTCTGGTATTACTCTGGTATAACTGCGGTATAACTCTGACCTTTTCATCACAGACACATCCCAAGTCATTTGTAACTACAGGAACAAGATTGGAGGCTGTGGGTTTGGAAACCTCCTCTGGCATGGTGGGCCTGAAGGTCGGACTTCTCAGCAGGTGGTTCAAACTACCATGSGTTCCATTGTTGGGGACTGGTTTCAGACCCAGCAGATCTGGGATTGGAACAAATCATTATGAAGGCAGCTCATATTCATGTGTGACTGTTGATTATCAACTCAAAGAACAGTTTTTTTTCACTGCAGTAATTACTTTAAATAAAACAAATGCAGTTGTGTTCATACACAAAATGATTTTAAAATTGTCTTACCACACATGACATTATAAAGCTCAATGTTTTCAAATGCTGGAACTTTAGTCTTGAATTTAAATGTAGGTCCATAGCCCAAGAAAATAGTCTGAAAACAAAAAGTATTGATGTGAGTGGTTAAATGATTTAAGACAATAAAATATTTGAAAAATTACCAGCTTTTGTAATAATCTGTCTTATAGTCATTTTCATAAAAAAGCTGTACATGATAACTATTCTAAGACCTCAACTCAGAGGTTATAGTTATAATTTAAAGAAGATGTGTGTAAAAGAATATAGTTTCAGTTTTCTCCCATTGAAACTAGGCACTGAAGCATTGGTCCTGATGTTTTAGTGGCTGTCCATTCATTTAGTGTACAATGAATCAAACAATCAGCACCTCACGTATAATACCTGCATACTGTTGATCTTATTGTCGTAGCCATGGTCTCCTGACAGGCCACAGGGCCTCCTCCCCTCAGGAACTCTCCTGTAATGAACGTGGTATAAATGATGTGTAACAAGTTATTTTGTTTCACACCCGTTAAACAAAAATGCTCAACATGCATCCCTGCATCAGGAACAGCACCACAGCAGAAATGCACCACTTTCAAACATWAACTCAAACTATACCACATTTTAGCCTGATTGATTTAAGTTCAGTTTACCACCAACTGCCTCTCAATCCTCATAGTCACAGTGTTGTGGGTCAACAGATCAACTTCTACAAACCTCTTTTGGTCAGTCGCTTGTTTCAGTCCTGAAATATATCTTTAAGCCTCATGAATAAAAGAGTGTGCAGATTTCATAATAAAAGTTGCCGTAMGGGCAAAAGTGAAAATGTACGTATGTACAGAAATATTTGGTTGTATCAAACCATGTGCACTCATGTTTCTGTGCTCCTTTCATTTCTATGTCCCAACTAATGTGGAACTACCGTGGAACTGAGCACACCTGAGGCTCCTCCCCAGACACTCCTCCATTTAAACATTTCAAAAAAGATGCAATGTCCAGTGTGCGTCATTCTCTCTGTGTGATGAGAAATGATTTATGGATAGATGGATGGAYGGAAAATCCAACAAATGAGATTAAAAAAAATAAACAAAATAATTTTCTCCTAACAAATAATCATTGTGGTTTGTTTGAGTGTATGATTTTGTTAAATGTTCTGGGTTCCCACACCTTGGTCAACATCGAATTCAAGGACTTTTCAAGGACTTTTCAGTACCAATTTCCTCAAATTCAAGAACCACGCGTGATGGCAATTACCTCCTGCTACCACAGAATGTTACCAATAAACAGGTTTAATATCATGTCATTCAATGAAAAACTGAACAACATAGAAGTTGTTGAGTCAGAATCAATGAAAGAAAGTGGATTAAATGTACACCCTACATTCATATCTACAATACATGGACATGTAATTATGTCCTGGGAGGTTCGGCAGTTCAGTTTGGGAGGAGATGTGAACATATCTAGACGCTCAGTGAGGACAGGAGGAGCTGTGGTGCTCTCACCTCGGTTCAGAAAGAATGACCTGCCCTACTCCGCTCTGATTGGCTAAAACTATGACTATAGCTCACGTTATTTGTTGAAAGCAACGTTAGTTTACCGGAATCCTGTTATCAACCGTAACAAATGTAAGATTTTTTAAAATTTTATTATTATTATTTTTAAAGATGATGAAAATCAGTCGTGTGACTAAAGAATTTCAATCCCCCAAAAAACATTCAAGAACTTTCAAGGACATGTGTAATTTTTGGCTGTTTTCACAACCTTTCCAGGGCCTTGAAATTTTTTTTTTTCAAATTCAAACTTTCAAGGATTTCAAGGACCCGTGGGAACGCTGTATAGTATATTCGGGGAGAAAAATACTACTATGTGCTCTTTGTGTTGCTGCACCTGGCAACGTGCCACTTCCTCTCCACCAGCAGATGGATGTCTTCAATGCGTCGGTTGTTGGCATAGTGAAGCCTCTTGGGCAGGTGTTGTTTCAGGTACGGTTTAAAGTGCTGGTCTGTTTTCTTACACTTTAACAAATAAATAAAACAACCAAAAACAGGTCAGAGAGGCAGGTACAGCAACACTGTTCCACAATATATAGGCCAAATTGTTTTTTTTTTCATCTGTCTTTTTCAGATTTTTGCAGACTATAAACATTTTCTTTAAGTTTGAAACATCTGAATAAATATCCAGTACTTACTGTTAGGTTTGCAACAATAGCCTTGGAGTCATCTGAAAAAAAAAAAAAAAAACAGCAGTCACATTATATTGTTGCAGGGCTTTGTTGTCTCATGCAGAAGCTCTACTGGAACACATGACCAGTGATCCATCGCTGGATCTACAATTTTCTGAGTCCACCCCATTCCAAACGTCCATTACAGCTAATCCAGCTTAGAAAACACAAAGACTCAGTCTATTTTACATCTACTGAGCTCAGTGTGATAGTTTGTCTTTGAATCTGCAAAAACAGAGGAAAAATAAACATAAAAAAGGGATTTTCTTCATTCCTYACATTTTGGGTTGTTGGGATATCTGGAGCGTATTCTGCCAAGAGATCCAGGAATGAGGATGATGTCATCAACGTTCGTCAGATAGTTACTGAGGAACTCTGTGCGGTCACAGTGAGCTTCTTCCATGCCTGAAAACACACACGTAAACCATCAGTAAAACACCAGAAACTGTCTGATTCTAATGCTCGTCCTGAAACACGCTTGGTGAAAATTCAAACTGAACCAAAACCTGYTGGTGAACTGTACTTCTGTAGTTTCAGCTGAGTGCAGAGCCTTAAATRTTAATATCAACAAAGCATTTAAAAGACTTTCATGTCTCATTTTCAGTTGGGTCAGTGTTAACTCTGTGTCTGTACCATGATCCCCCACCAGGATGATGTTAACACATCGATGTAGCTTCATCTGCTTCAGTCCGTCCATCAGCTGGCCGATGATTCGGTCAATCGCCCTCAGAGGATTGTTTAACTAAAACCACAAACAGGAAGACATGAACCCTAAAACAAAATAACACCCCACACAGACAATCTGGTGGTYCTCACTCACGTCTGAGCTCAGGGGTCCCATCCTGTGTCCATATGTGTCCGGGAGGTCACCGTGCATGGCATAAACATAAGGTCTGAAACAAGATGGTTTTAGGCTTTTATAAGAAAATCTTCTAATGATGAAAAGGTAACAGCAATTCTTGTGTTGGCTAATGCTGATTAGCTGTGGCGGCCATCTTGAACTGGTTTGACTCCAGAAGATAACTGATTAGTTTCAGAAAGTTTGATTAAATTCAACCATAAAAATCAGACAAACACCTGTACCCCAGCCTACCTGTGACATACAGGTGACAGATAAAC